TTCATGGAGATGTGTCTGAAGATGTCTTAAATTGCTGCACTTCACCTGTATGGAAGATAACAAAATATGAAGATAAATATTTCTATGATCGACTGTTAAAGTGATCCTGCAAGATGTGTTTTTAATGTTTCGTGTTTCCATGAAGCACTGTGAACGTGCACAAGCGTGTGTTTCTTCGAAAAGGAGGACATCTGAAGAAGAAATTCTAAGGGAATCAGTGAAGTTTCTTTCGGGACAAAATATTGTCTATCTGTTAATGCCCAGGATTCTTCAAGGATGAGATTCATGGAATTCTTGATATTTGCTTCTTGTGGATCTAAATTCCAACTGAAATTGTTGTGACTTTCTCACAAACATGATGAAAGGTAGATCTGTGTTTGGATGTTCCAAGTTTAAAGGGGTGTGAAGGGATTGGATACATCTGTCTATCCTGCTCCTTGGTCTTCAGCACAGTGTAAATGTTCTAACTATCATTTGGGGAACAGTAGAGGAACACAGAGGCTTGTGTGAGTATTCTGTGCTGACCAAATGTGCTGTAATCATGAGTGTATGAACATCCTGCACAGTGTCCGGAGCTGTCTGAGGAAACAAGTGATAGGTTGTTCACTGTGAGAATTATCGCTTCAACAAATATGGGAGATGCAGATGAGTGCTGTGAGAGAAATACAAATATTTATTTGCATCAGTTGTGGAATGTTCTGAATATTTTTTTTCACAGATATCGGATATCAAACAATTCTTTTGAACCAGTTTCTCATATGAGTGTTTAATGCACTTGGAACTATTGTACAGTTGATTTCACTATAAGTTTGATTTTAGTGTTAGATTACCTTTGACTTCAGTAGCAATACATTTTCAGTGCTAGTTCTGAAAGTGTTTTCAGAAATTGTTGCAAAAAGTGTTGTCGACACTTGACCTTGAATCCATGACACTGACCTTGACTGCATGACAATGGAGAGATATACTCAAACAGCAAGCAGCCGCTGTGCTTCAGGGCGGTCTATCCCTCTCGACATTGATGAAGCCCTTGAACGTTTGTCAAATCGCTCCAGCCCAATCAACAGAATGCACGTGACAGTTAAACGTAGCAGCACTGCCATACCTGAGATGGCCCCGAACTCAGTTTACAGCCAGTTGGGAGTTATGTCCCCTTTCCCTATGAGGGGACTTCCTCCGCCAGTGATTCACAGGAAATTTGTGAGCAGTAAGAGTAAAACACTGAGTGCTAAGAATCACGTGACTCCGGGTCAACTTCAGCGTAGTAAGACGATTCTTTCCACCCCATGTCGACACTGTGATGCCTGCACAATCAAACATTTACGCAATTTTAACAAGGTGAGCTTCATGCATTTTCTTATGTAGTTTACAAAAAAAATTCAGAGAAATTGCTTCATTGCTAAAATAAGAAAATATTGCAAGAAGCTCTGTAATCTGTTAGAATATAACCAGTAGAGTGAGAGTATGAATTGTGAAAGATAATTGACAGTTTGTTTATTAATTAATTAATTCATTCATTCATTCATTCATTCATTCATTCATTCATTCATTCATTCATTCATTTCATTTCATAATACAGTTGTTAGTAAAAATGCAATAAGTCTACCCCTTTCTTATTTTAAAACTTTTTGCTTTACTTTTTAGCAGCAGAACTGCACTTGAACATAAAATACAATCAGATCTGTTTTTAATGTTTTGTGTGTCTGTTTTGTCAAGTTATTTTATATTATCTGAAATATGTTATCAAACTGATGCAAATTGAAGATTCTCCTTTCATAATCATAATTAATGTACTAATTATCAGATCTTTGCCATCAAGAACGAGACACTGGTCACCTAGGCAACATCATGTGTGTCAATTATGAATACGCTGCACATTCGTAACTACTCGCCTCTTTCCGTGACCTACAAGAAGGACCGCCTCCGTGGTGTAGTGGTTAGAGCGTCTGCCCGGAGAGTTGAAGGTCGCAGGTGCGATCCTCGACCGCGTCATACGAAAAGACGTTAAAATATGGTACTTGTTGGCGCTCGGCATTAATGGGTACAACAAGGACTGGTCAGTTCGGAGTCAGTATAATGTGTCTGAGTGGGGTATTCATGCTTCACTGCGGCATGGCATCTCAGTGGGCTGGCACTATAAAACCAGCTTCAGTCTGGGCTAGTACAAGCAGCCGCACATACACATACACACGCATGCACATAGTCATATGAGCGAAATATTCTCAAGCACGACGTAAAACCCAATTTCACCTCGCCTCACCTACAAGAAGACTCATACTCCTATCGTACGCCATTATTGCCAAGAATTGTGGCAAACCAATCAAATCGCGCGTAGTAAAACGCATTTCGAAGCATGAAAAAGGCGGCACTGTTGAAGTTTGAAACTTCGCTAAACTATGCAAAGCACAATTTAAACATAAATTTGAGCTAAAAGATCAGAAACTTTAAACACTGAAACATATTTACAAAGGGAATGACCGAATTGCCGTTTTGCCCACGGGATATAGGATATTCTTGGAGCCATGTTTGGAAATTCAGAGTTATCTTTCCTTGGCAATAGTACTAGACTATTTTCATCTCCATGTCCGTTTGCGCTTAGACAGGGCCCAGTCGTAAACATGGCCACGAGAGGGGTACGAGACGCCATCCGGCTTGCCGGAATGACACAAGTAGTTATGAATGTAAGCTGCAGTGTGGTTAGAGTTACCTGCTCTTGCCATGTACTAACACAAAAGGTTGAAGTTATATGTCCTTCATCTTTCTCATGGATGTGTTGTGGCAAAATAGCTCAAATGACTCACGCAGACCTCCACTGACCCAATGACTCACTGTCTCTCGTCTAAATTACCGGTAATGACTCACTTAGTCCTCCACTCACTCAATAACTTCCTCAATGACAGTCTTCCATTCAACCAATGACTCATTCACTCATGCCCTGGCTCAACTCATTCACTCATGCCCTGACTCAACAACTCATTCACTCATGCCCTGACTCAACAATTCATTCACTCATGCCCTGACTCAACAACTCATTCACTCATGCCCTGACTCAACAACTCATTCACTCATGCCCTGACTCAACAACTCATTCACTCATGCCCTGACTCAACGACTCATTTACTCTTGCCCTGACTCAACAACTCATTCACTCATGCCCTGACTCAACAACTCATTCACTCATGCCCTGACTCACTCAACTCAACTCATTCACTCATGCCCTGACTCAACAACTCATTCACTCATGCCCTGACTCAACAAACTCATTCACTCATGCCCTGACTCAACAACTCATTCACTCATGCCCTGACTCAACAACTCATTCACTCATGCCCTGACTCACGCAACTCTGACTCAGCCTGACTCATTCACTCACTCATGCCCTGACTCAACGACTCATTTACTCTTGCCCTGACTCAACAACTCATTCACTCATGCCCTGACTCAATGACTCATTCACTCATGCCCTGACTCAACAACTCATTCACTCATGCCTGACTCAACAACTCATTCACTCATGCCTGACTCAACAACTCATTCACTCATGCCCTGACTCAACAACTCATTCACTCATGCCCTGACTCAACGACTCATTTACTCTTGCCCTGACTCAACAACTCATTCACTCATGCCCTGACTCAACGACTCATTCACTCATGCCCTGACTCAACAACTCATTCACTCATGCCCTGACTCAACAACTCATTCACTCATGCCCTGACTCAACAACTCATTCACTCATGCCCTGACTCAACAACTCATTCACTCATGCCCTGACTCAACAACTCATTCACTCATGCCCTGACTCAACGACTCATTTACTCTTGCCCTGACTCAACAACTCATTCACTCATGCCCTGACTCAACAACTCATTCACTCATGCCCTGACTCAACAACTCATTCACTCATGCCCTGGCTCAACTCATTCACTCATGCCCTGACTCAACAACTCATTCACTCATGCCCTGACTCAACAACTCATTCACTCATGCCCTGACTCAACAACTCATTCACTCATGCCCTGACTCAACAACTCATTCACTCACTGCCCTGACTCAACGACTCATTCACTCATGCCCTGACTCAACGACTCATTTACTCTTGCCCTGACTCAACAACTCATTCACTCATGCCCTGACTCAACGACTCATTCACTCATGCCCTGACTCAACAACTCATTCACTCATGCCCTGACTCAACGACTCATTCACTCATGCCCTGAATCAACAACTCATTCACTCATGCCCTGACTCAACAACTCATTCACTCATGCCCTGGCTCAACTCATTCACTCATGCCCTGACTCAACAACTCATTCACTCATGCCCTGACTCAACAACTCATTCACTCATGCCCTGACTCAACAACTCATTCACTCATGCCCTGACTCAACAACTCATTCACTCATGCCCTGACTCAACGACTCATTTACTCTTGCCCTGACTCAACAACTCATTCACTCATGCCCTGACTCAACGACTCATTCACTCATGCCCTGACTCAACAACTCATTCACTCATGCCCTGACTCAACGACTCATTCACTTATGCCCTGACTCAACAACTCATTCACTCATGCCCTGACTCAACGACTCATTCACTCATGCCCTGACTCAATGACTCATTCACTCATGCCCTGACTCAACGACTCATTCACTCATGCCCTGACTCAACAACTCATTCACTCATGCCCTAACTCAACAACTCATTCACTCATGCCCTGACTCAACAACTCATTCACTCATGCCCTGACTGAGCGACTCATTCACTCATGCCCTGACTCAACAACTCATTCACTCATGCCCTGACTCAACAACTCATTCACTCATGCCCTGACTGAGCGACTCATTCACTCATGCCCTGACTCAACAACTCATTCACTCATGCCCTGACTCAACGACTCATTCACTCATGCCCTGACTCAACAACTCATTCACTCATGCCCTGACTCGACGACTCATTCACTCATGCCCTGACTCAACAACTCATTCACTCATCTGTTGCAGCTCCAGTCTGGTATGGGGTTCCGTATTGAGGATGGGATGGTGTATGGGATGATGAAGAGATCCAAGTCTGATCTTCATCTCTACGATGACACCATACGACCTGGCGCCATGCCACTGATGACCGGGGAGGTAAGTCAAAGTGGACCGTATATGAATTGGTGCCATGCCACTGATGACAGGGGAGGTAAGTCAAAGTGGAATAGCTGAATGACAAGAGTCATACATTAATATTAGCCATTTTCATGACAGTGCCATTTATATAGAGGATATTATATGAGCGCCCATGTCATACTATGTTTACGACACAAGTGCCTAAATGTTGGTATTTACCGAGCGAGAGCGAGGGATATACCGATATTTAGGCACGAGTGTTGTAAATATAGTATGATATGGGCACTCATGTAATATTTTGTTTATTACCGAAGTTGTCAAATTGAGGAAAATAACCCAAATCTACGTTCAAACATAGGCCTGTCTACCCGCCTTCGCCGCATGTAGAATGCAACGTCACAGAAGAAACGTGACGTCACAGCATTGTTCATGACGTCACGTCACAATGACAAAGTGATATTTTGCCCTAGGGCATCGTATGAAAAATATGAACCCCGATATGTTCGCCCTCGTAGGTAATAACATGTCTTAGGGACTTCAAAACATTTGGTATCTATATATTATAAACCTTCAAATATATATTTTGCAATACCATAATCTGTCATAATAAGCCTGTCTCTTGCTCTGTAGAGAGCCCCTGTGTTCATGATGGCTGCCCAGGAACCCCGACAGGATGTTGTCGGGGGCAACAAAGAAGAGGTTTCATTACCAATGGCAACAGTCCCTAAGAAAGGCCTAATCAAGTTAACTGCCGTGGACCAGGAATTGCCAGATCAAGAAATGTTGTCCATGAAGAGAAATGGTAAGTACTTCTACACAGATGAGTGAGTGAGTTGGGTTATAATGCCTTATTAGACAGTATTCCCATTGTACCACGATGTGACAGTTTATATTTGAAGAAAGCCCAAATGTATGCAGGTCTCCGACATTAACTACTTTGGTGAACACAAACTAGGATTTGAACCCCCAATTTCTGCCTTGCCCAAGGGAAACAACCCTGCACAAGGGATTCTGCAACTTAGACAAGGGGAACCCAGGACCCACCATCAACACAGAACTCCGGCCATATTGACATCTGTTAGAGAAACCTGTGTTGGAGGTGTATATCAATCTCTGTTAGAGAAACCTGTGTTGGAGGTGTATATCAACCTCTGTTAGAAAAACCTGTGTTGGAGGTGTATATCAACCTCTGTTAGAAAAACCTGTGTTGGAGGTGTATATCAACCTCTGTTAGAAAAACCTGTGTTGGAGGTGTATATCAACCTCTGTTAGAAAAACCTGTGTTGGAGGTGTATATCAACCTCTGTTAGAAAACCTGTGTTGGAGGTGTATATCAACCTCTGTTAGAAAAACCTGTGTTCAGGGTGTATATCAACCTCTGTTAGAGAAACCTGTGTTGGAGGTGTATATCAACCTCTGTTAGAGAAACCTGTGTTGGAGGTGTATATCAACCTCTGTTAGAGAAACCTGTGTTGGAGGTGTATATCAACCTCTGTTAGAAAAACCTGTGTTGGAGGTGTATATCAACCTCTGTTAGAAAAACCTGTGTTGGAGGTGTATATCAACCTCTGTTAGAGAAACCTGTGTTGGAGGTGTATATCAACCTCTGTTAGATAAACCTGTGTTGGAGGTGTATATCAACCTCTGTTAGAAAAACCTGTGTTGGAGGTGTATATCAACCTCTGTTAGAGAAACCTGTGTTGGAGGTGTAATATCAACCTCTGTTAGAGAAACCTGTGTTGGAGGTGTATATCAACCTCTGTTAGAGAAACCTGTGTTGGAGGTGTATATCAACCTCTGTTAAAAAAACCTGTGTTGGAAGTGTATATCAACCTCTGTTAGAGAAACCTGTGATGGAGGTGTATATCAACCTCTGTTAGAGAAACCTGTGTTGGAGGTGTATATCAACCTCTGTTAGAGAAACCTGTGTTGGAGGTGTATATCAACCTCTGTTAGAAAAACCTGTGTTGGAGGTGTATATCAACCTCTGTTAGAGAAACCTGTGTTGGAGGTGTATATCAACCTCTGTTAGAGAAACCTGTGTTGGAGGTGTATATCAACCTCTGTTAGAGAAACCTGTGTTGGAGGTGTATATCAACCTCTGTTAGAGAAACCTGTGTTGGAGGTGTATATCAACCTCTGTTAGAGAAACCTGTGTTGGAGGTGTATATCAAAGACCAATCTGGTCTACCACAGTTACTAGTCTTATATACACAAAGTTCCTCCAATCGAATGTCAGATTTAACTGTCACATGTACACATGTAATGCAGGGCTTGGTTTAACTTGCACACATGCAGAATACACAAAAATCAAACTTTGCTGCACAAAACCATGTTGCACTGATATCCCATAATTTATAGAAATGAATATAATATACTACTCACACTTTGCTAAGGATCACAAAAATTCACAACATTACTTAAACGTAGATTTATATTTTGAAATTTTATCCATTTAAACTGGATAAATAATTATATTGTAACCCTTCTTTAGGCAAAAAGTTACTTTAATCTAACCTTATGCACTTGATACATGAGTAACCATAAAAATGGTTTTCATGGCACCAAACAACTATTTTTCATATCATAGAACAAGTCATTGACAAGTACACAAAACGTGTCAATAGCAGGTATGGGATCCACAAGATGAAATGACATACTGAAACCTAGGATCCATGCTTACAATAAGCTTAGATATTTAAACCAAATTTGACCCCCACATCATAGTTTTCTGTTGAATCCATGATTTGATCCTCAGCAAAGTGCGAATAGTATATATTTCAGATCTCTGATGACAGTTTCATGATGTTTCATACAGCTGGTGTAGTACTTATGTGGCAATATTGTCAATGGCAACAGTCGGGTAACGCCTAATGGTTATCAATAATTGGATGATCTGAACGTCATAGTGTCATTACAGCTCTCAACTACAGTAATAGATAAAGCTACAGTATATTCTTGAAGTACACACATTTTCATGACATCATGTCCATGAAAGCATGTCAAATTACACATAACAGGTATTAGTGATGTGGTATAGTAAATGAATATTGTGGTATTGAGTGTGTTGAAAGATTGAGGTAATGTAAGAAGCAATATGTCTGCAAAATCAGCATTTGAACTTTGCACTTTGCAGAATCAAGCACACCATGGAGAAGCCTCTCACTGAACATTTCAACCTGTTTAAACATGCAAGTAGGGATATCTTGTTCTAGGGGGCGGTGGGGTAGCCTAGTGGTTAAAGCGTTCGCTCATCACGCCGAAGACCCGGGATCGATTCCCCACATGGGTACAATGTATGAAGCCCATTTCTAGTGTCCTCGCTGTGATATTGCTGGAATATTGCTAAAAGCGACGTAAAACCGTACTCAGTCAGTCAGTCTTGTACATCAATGGTGTCTTACGACACCATCAACTCATCCTTGTTGTGGTGTTTTAGCTAAGATTACATCCTTAGACTTGTTCAATTTCTACATATGAAGCCATCCTTGTGTTTTGTCCACATGCAGCTGGGAGTGATAAAAATACATTCACTTTTAGTAAGAGGTTAAATACCACTGCACAACAACTGTTGCTGCAAGGTTTTCTTAAGCATTGATGCAGTCTCAACTTCCAGATACACATTACATGCGCAGGGGTGGATACAGCTTTCTGTGAGGGGGAAACTCTTGAGAAAGTGGGGGTTGGGGAGTACACATTTCACACAAGAGTTTCAATGGTCATTTAATAAACTTTAGGACAAATTGGGCGCACCCCTGCACACACCCTCTGGATCCGCCTATGCTGCAATAATTCAGTTACAGCATGTTAATATGGCAGACAAAACCAATGGACAGATAAAGTTGCCCAAGTCCATGTGGATGCAGAAACTTGATACGGGTAGTGATAATGTCTTTCCAGAACCTGCATCGAAGAAGACGGTACAGAAGTCATTGATCAAGCGCAAGGACATCCAGGAGCAGATCCGGGCGGGGACCCAGATGTTGGAGGAGGAGGAGAGGAGGAGGACTCAGGATGAGTTGGATGAGGGGGAGGTGCATCTGGAGGACTACACCATGGGGGATCTGCAGACAGCTCTCAACATGGTCCAGGTGGGTCTGCCTTTACTATGAAGGTGGGTCTGACCTACACTGGTCTGACAGTGTCAAGGTGGGTATGACCTACACTGGTCTGACAGTGTCAAGGTGGGTCTGACCTACACTGGTCTGACAGTGTCAAGGTCATTCTGGCTTACACTTGCCTGACAGCATCAAGGTCTGTCTGACTTACACTGGTCTAACAGTGTCAAGGTCAGTCTGACCTACACAGGTCTGACAGTGTCACGGTCGGTCTGACCTACACAGGTCTGACAGTGTCAAGGTTGGTCTGACTTACACTGGTCTGACAGTGTCAAGGTCAGTCTGACTTACACTTGCCTGACAGTGTCAAGGTCGGTCTGACCTTAGTTCATCTCAATGTGTAAAGTTTGGTCTGACCTTCATTCAGTTTCAAGTGTCATGGTTAGTCAGGTCTTCTGAGTTTGAAAACGTCAAGTTGGATCAAGTTTTCACTTGATGCCCTCCAAGGTAAAGGCTTTGGTTACATTTTTCCAACAGGATTAAAAGATTGAGCCACTAAGTTGGTATGTATATTTAATGTAGGATGGGTTGCTTTAAACAAATATTTCCACTCACTCACTGACTGGTTTCAGGATGATTCCAACTCCCCAGTGATGCTGGATCTGGAAGACAAAGAGATGGCCAGGGACGGTCCCCCAAACCCCCCAAGCAGCCTCTAGTCACTGAGAGCATCAAGCAGCAGACATTCCAACTCCCCATCCTTGGCAAGAGATGATCCTCCACACAGGGACATCTGAATCCTTTGCAGCATCTGCAGCATGTATCTGACTATAGCAGTTGATGCCTCCCAATGTTTTAACTGCTTTTACTTGTGAGATCTTGTTTGTATTTTCATGGATGTTAATCTCAAGGGATGAAGATCCCGAGTGAGTAATCTTTCAGATGTGTGTTTAGATGCAGATACTGCTGGTGGAAGACATTGAGGATGTGGATGATGAAACTTGAGTAGATTTCAATGGATATGATATTCTACATTTAAGTTATTTTGTTTTCAAGTATATTTATTGCAAACTGTTGCATTCATTGTTTCACTATTAACATGTGTGACATGTACAAAGTGTCATTTGAAGAAAGGTTTTAAATGTGTCACTAATTAATACTAAGTTTCAGTAAGAACATTATCACAAGAAATTAAATAGACCTTTATCTCTAAATGTAAGTAATTGTGCTGATGTTTCAACATAATCTGGCATGAGTTTATGAGGTTTTCATAACACCAATTATATTCTTATTCTCTCATAAAATATGATCCAAGAATGGTGGGGTTGCATTAGTTTCTATATTTATGTTTATTTATGTTTGTGTTTTGCATTAATAAATATCCAGTAACCATGGTGACAGGTGCTACTAGTGTGCAATTTATAGATAGTAGTCTGAAAGAAGTACCTTCTGTTCTGTGTGTTGAATTCCAACTGGCTATTTTGTTATATTTATCATCAAATTTTGTTTTTCCTGTTCTTAACTTTTGTATACTTTGTTTGTTAATGTTTTGTTGATAATAGTCTTCCGCTGTAAATTGTGGGGTGCTCAACATCAAACAGACACAAGTTACGTCCCTTAGAATACACACCATGTCAACTACAGTGTATTGCAAGGTGTTTATCTTTGAATCTGTTTCATTTGAATCAACTCGTTGGATCTGTATTTGTAACAACATCTTAAACAGTTCAGATTAAAACATGAGACTTATAGTCCACTCAAGCTTTATGATGGAAATATGTGAGACCTAAAGTGTACCTTACACTTTTACTCATAGCTTAGTGTTCACCATGAAGTGCAAGTGTTAATTTCTTTTATTATGTCTATATAACAAACTCGAAAACTGCCCTGTATCCTTCATATTAGCAATACAGTGTGTGACTACATATGGATTCACATGTATCTGTGTTTGGGAAAAGTGTTTAAATATTTCTGTAAAATCTGAGGTTGATATTTGGGAAGTTACTTTTAATGTAATTAATGGAAAGAGAATTATTCTAAAATGTAAATGATGTTTATAGTACATTTGTATTGTATATATGACAAACATATTCACATTTTATTCATTATGATGTTCAGGTCTTCTGGCTTTGTATTAAGGGTGTATATATTTATTGCTGTGTTGGTAGGCGAGTTGAATCATGTTATTGTAATTAATGTACCTGCAATTGTTTGTTATTGTGAATTATAACGACCTACCTTTGGATGATGTATTTATCAACTTGTGTCACTGAATGAGAATGAATAAAATATGCAAGCATCATCATACTGTGCCTTGGTGTTTCCCGGGAAACGAAAACAGAAAGACCAATCTTAGTAGATCAGCATCCATGTACACACAGCAAACAGCCCCATGTTAGATATTTTACGTACACTTCAATCAATTGCTGTTGTACTTTTGTGAGTGAGTATGGCTTTTGGTTGCTTTTAGCAACATTCCAGTAATATCGCGGCGGGGACACCAGAAATGGGCTTCACACATTGTACCCGTGGAGAATCAAACCCGCGTATTCAGGGTGACGAGCGAACGCTTTTATCACTTGGCTACTCCACCACCGTTACAGTTAGTAACCCAAAGCTATTTGACATTGATATAACTGGGACATTGAATTAACTCAGTATTACAGTTGTACCATAGCGGGTAAGCTTTGGGTGTGAGTAAACCGCGATGGTGCTGACACACCTAGAACCCCGATGGTGCTGACAAACCTAGAATCGCGATGCAGAATGTGGGATTCCACATCCACAGACCGGTCATATATTTGTTTCTGGGACGCAACTCATCACAGTTAGCTGCAGGACGTAGCTTGCATTATTATTAATAATATTAACAATAAACATACATAGCCGGTACAACTGCGGTTTCAAGTATATTGTGCTCAGTAAGTTCCTATCGTACCAGACAATGTTACGAGAAGACTGAGTAACTCGTCTCCGTTTCCCTCCATTGTGACTCTGCTGTTTTTCTTCAGTTTCAGACCCGTGAAGATCCAGGCTAGAACTGATCTGCAGTAACCCATGCTTGTCGTAAGAGGCGACTAACGGGATCGGGTGGTCAGGCTCGCTGACTTGGTTGACACATGTCATCGGTTCCCAGTTGCGCAGATCGATGCTCATGCTGTTGATCACTGGATTGTCCAGTCCAAACACGATTATTTACAGACCGCCGCCACATGGAATATTGCTGAGTGTGGCGTAAAAGTAGACTCACTCACTCACTCCTTCCGTTTCTTTGGCATCAGTTTCACAAAGATGACAGTAGAGATTATGACAAAATGTTTTATTCACATATCAATAATCTTTCTGTACAAGGTTATCACAGGCGCTCAAGTGTAAATCAATATATCCGGTAAATGGCGTGTCATGTTAAGAATCAATATACAAAAAATGAGCAGTCGTGTACAACGGTGACGGTAACAGGATAAAGAAGCACTCGTAAAATAATCACTAACCTGCACCTTTCTCCATACAGCTGATGTCATATGGACGTGGGGAATATGATCTTGTGTCACAAGACTCGATAAGATCGAAAATCGAAAGACATGCGCGAAAATCCTTTCATCGCCTCTGATGGCAAGTTGTGTGTCGTTGTCCGGGCACATAAAAGTTCCGTCAGGAACACAAACGTTACCATTCTTCACCGCCAAGTATTCGGCTTGTCCCGAAATAACACGAGTTTGTCGCGAATGGAATCATTCGTCACCATTCGCCCCTTTCCGTAACCTCCAAGAAGCATTCGGCTTGTCCCGGAATAACACGAGTTGGTCACGATTACGTTACACTGGTGACGAGCGAATCCGTGTGTACTGATAAGCAAAAGAAAGTATACTCTTGAAAATCGGATTTGACCACTATAACAAAACTGACCCAAACTATGCTAGGCTGAATCAGTCGCCCAAACACAGTAGACTTATCATCCATATCACAACTTTGATACGCATATCAAATACATCACCAGGGAATAACCTTGTCTTGTCTGTTTCATTTCAGCCACTACCCAACATGGGTGAAGCCCATATCTTGTCAACAGCGTTTGTAATTCCCTCCTGCCCGACCGTCCGGAACGGTTTATTTTCATCTCGGACGATCAAATTTCAAAAGTAGCCTGTCCGGTGGTCTGATAGATATTTTTACCCCTAACAGTAAATATTTCATAATATAAGACAGGTTCTCTTGTCGTCAGTTTGAGGTGTTTAAGGTATTATGAAAATTATGTTAAACTACTTACGATTGGACAGTTCAAGCTACGACAACCAATCACAACACGTGTAATTTCAGTTTATTGTTGAAAACCGGACAGGCAAGTTTGTATCCGGACTGGTAATTTTTTAAAGTTAATAGTCCGGCTGTTTGGCTTTGAATTTTGGGAGTTTTAGACACTGATGTCAAGCAGTTTATTTAAACTCTCAATAGTTTGAACTGAGAGTTACGCGAAATTTTGTATCAATGATCCTTACCAAGACTCAAGAAAGGGTGTAACCTTCAAGCTGTGCTGACAATTATTGGTTTGATGATGTGTAGGTCTTGGCATAACCATATTCCTGCTTGGGACGTCCACTAAATTCTTTACTACGGACCACAACATGCACCACTCGATATCGTAACAAGGTAATGTCTTCCATCATTCGTCAACACTCTACCCTTTCCGTAACTTGCATTCAGCTGGTCTCGGAATGACATGAGTTGGTCAAAGATGGTCGCCAAAACGAGAAGAGTATTAGTTGAGATTTGTTAAAGAGTACGATGATACGAGATGTGTCAGAAATCGTATTTTTTAATCTTTGTTTTGAAGGCGACTTCGTTCTGGATCAGTCGGCTAATGTGATTCAAATTTATCATAGCTTTATGCTTAAAGCTGCACCCGTCGGGATTTTCCTAATTTCATCAAATAAAGAGACAATAATTTCATGTCCCATTATCCGATGTAGACAATACAAGTGTATTTTAACGTATAATCGCGTTTTGATCTTTCCGGTTCGACAACCAAGACGATATCATTCACTTACATGCACATCCCTTCTTGTGCGAAAACTGGATATTTCATAATTCTGCTTATTAGTCGATACAACCAGTGCATGAGACCAGTCAGCGAAAGCTGCAGTAAAGCCCAAACACGGATCACTGAAGACTCTGTGGTCACTTGACTTTTTAGTCGACAAGCCGAATGGTGTCTTGCCGGCGCGAGTGGTGACAAATGAACTTAAAGGCACTTCCGGACACTTAGCTACTACTCGCCCCTTTCCGTAACCTGCAAGAAGCCATTCGGTTTGTAACGGAATAGTGAGTTTAGTTTTACGCCGCACTCAGCAATATTCCAGCTATATGGCGGGTTGTTCCGGAACAACACGAGTTGTTCAAACGAGTCTGATTCAAATCATTCAAAGGCCTCTTTGCTGGTTTTTTTTGAGTAAAATGTTACGGCGTGTTTCTCTTATTACAAAGATACAATGTGAAACGAGTCAACCTGTGTAGCTTTAGGTCTCATTGGTATTGTGCGGATGTTGAAACATCACCCAGATGTAACCCGGATGTTGAATCAACACCCAGATGTAACCCGGATGATGAATCAACACCAGATGTAACCCGGATGTTGAATCAACACGTATTTAATTTGTGATGAAAAAACTGAATGAAGCTCCTATCAAGGGTAACATTAGGGCTTTAAGCCAAAAACGCAAATGTAAGAAGGAGTGCATACTACAACGGGGCATTTTTGGATTTCCAAATAACTTGGCACCAGTTCTATTGGTCCCCATGTTAGTACTGGCTTTGTATATAAGTTGTTAGGTATATACTACCATTCTTAGATCACATTGTTTATGTCCTGACATTAGCCTGATGCCGTTTAGGTGTAGGGGAGACAACTTCCTTGCCGACAATGGTCATGCTGTTCCTGTCGTTGTAGGCTGAGGTGCGGTGGCGGTTGTGGAGAGACTTGAGATCACCAACAACGTTGCCCATCTGGTTTTTCGCCCTGTTCTCCAAACGAACAGGTCCAGCGATTAGCCCGTCCGAGAGACTTATCTGTTCGCGGTGGAAGGTCCGAGAGACAGTGGCGTGATGTTTTCTCACCGACCCACCGTGTTTTGGCACAGGCGAGTGGCTTGGGGGCTGATACTGAGTAAATCGAATTGGAGGCAGTATCTGTGACTTTTTCCCGTCCAAACTCTCAAGGCTTGCAGAGAGATGGCCGTTTAGAGTCGGTCTCGCCTCGCTGACCGTCTCGGTGTCTGTCATACGTTCCTTAAATCTGTCAATCAGTTTATCCTGAGCTGTGATTTTGGTTTTCATCTTTGTAATCTCATCTTCCTGCATACTGAGTTGCGTCCCCTTCTTCCTGACGTCGATTTTCAAGTCATTTAACTGTTTCCTCATCACTGTCATGATGGCCGCCTGCCAGACCGCTGCTCCCGACGCCATCTTGGACTTCTTCGTCTCCTGTTCAATATCCTCTTGAGATCTGATATCTTTTTCTTTTGTTAAGTTTTCTACTTTAGCAGTTTCTCGTTGCAACAAATCTCCATATCTAGAAATCTCACGCCTCATCTGGTGTAAATTTTCATCAGTCTTTACTGCAAAGTCTTTAAAAGCAAATAACAAAGATGGCGTATCTTGTTCTTCCGGTGCATATCCAAGATGGAGCAGCATCAGATCTCTCTCTTCTAACAACGCTTCATATTTCTCCTTCACCTCTAACAAATCTTTATATTTCGACACAAACACTTCAAAATCTTCAACCAAAAATGCAAACTCATTTTCACTCAGCACCATCAGCTCTCGCTCACTCTCTCGAGGTTTCAAAGTTACGAGATCATTGATCACATTGTGAATTGTCTTCATCGTGGCCTTAAGTTGTCCAACCTGCTCTCCCGATCTCTGGATTGCAGAAGTATTCGCGGTGTTGTATTTAATCTGTATGCTCATGCTGTCCCGGTGCTTTTCCTGCATCTCGTGCAGCTGACGCTCGAGCACGCGCTTCTCTGTCCTCGCCTTCACGTGCGCATCCTGGGCATCCTGCACGCATTTCTCGAGGTGCTTGATCTTATCGAAGGCAGACTTGCGAGCCTGCTCGAACTCTTGTGCTTCGTTGAGCTGAAGTTGTTTGGTTTCTAACCATTTTTCTTTTTCTTTCGTGTCCCTTTTCCACACGTACTTCATTGTCTCGCTTTGAATCTGAAACGAGTTAGGAATAGATGTAAATGTTCTTCACAATGAAATTAATTTGTTCCAGGATATTTAATTCAGTCTAAAGTTTTACAACAATTACTTTTCTGTCATGGTGGTTCTGATGAACAAGTGTGTGGTAAAACATAATTCGATCTCATTAAAACCTGAATTTATTACTGGCTATCACTTAAAATCTCAAAACATTCTATTACTGGCCACGTTAGAGAAATTTCGGGAACGAAATGACTAACCAGAGGTGACATTAGCCTATCAGAAAACGACTTTCTAGAGTCTTATGGCACTAGGTTCATCTCTCTTGTGCTCTTGTGGAAAGTTGTACTTGTCACACAGACGGTACCTTTTCTAGAATGTACGCTTCGAGTTGTTTCCTCTCAACGTCCTTGAGACCACGAGTCACGACAGGAAGTCGTTTGCTGAGGTCACTAAGGTCAAGGCCATCCTTCCGAGACTCTGAAGGAAGAAACAGGTAGACAGGTGAGTATTCTTTGTATATGAGCTTTGTCTTGTGCAAAACAATATGAACTACTTGACTTCCGTCAATAAACGTGATCCGAAAGTGAGTGAGTAAGTTGGGTTCTACGCCGTTTGTAGCAATGTATGAATGGTTCTTGAGATATCTCGCTGACAATGGTAAAACGTTAAAGTCCCCTTAAAATGAAGCTCAAGGTCACCAAACCCGACTGGGACCTTTCGCATACTGTGATGAACCTTGGTACCAAATATGAAAAGTGTCTAGTCAACGGTTCTTAAGATATTCCAATTCGTACGTACGTACATATGTACGGACGGAGCCTGATACTATATCCCCCGCTTCGCGCTAAACAACTTCCCAACCTCGATCCAAGTATGGTGTGTTGCTGTGTGCCTCCCCTATTCCCGCATACGCACTACCCAGCGAGACCCCCCAGACCCACCCCCAGCAAGTCTTTCACACCGTATTCCATTCTCTTCCCACAGAGGTTACTTCTCATATCTTCCTACGAACCTCTGTTCTAATACGGCCCTTTCATGGTGCGAGTGTTCAGGATTCGTGATTGGTTGCAATCAGATTTAGTTGTGCAATCAGCGACGTTGTTTCAAAAGTGATCATTCGCAAGGCCTCGGTAATTTCGGGAAAACTAGAACCTCTTCACCTGCGCGATGCGCAAACGTTTCTTCTAGACAGAACTCAGTCATGTAATGGCGAATCGATGGCGTCTCCATTTTTTATATTTGTGGCCCCACATTTGCTTGTATTAGTCAGGTTGGGGCTAAGTCGATGTAACACGTTTTCTGATTGGATAGAAAGAAGGGGAGATAATTCGTGTTGCGATTTTTGGCCGATAGGGGATTTTACGAGAACCGGGAAATATGGCCGTATTTGAACAGAGGTTCGTAGGAAGATATGAGAAGTAACTTCTGTGGGAAGAGAATGACCTTATTCCAGTGAGATTTACACTTTGGTCTAGTAGAATGAGCATTTGTTTGGAGAGCGGAAGTTCGGTGGTTGACCCTGCACGTTTTCACAATTGGTGCATGTTCTTGCCCAGCTCGGTAGTGTGAGTGAGGGAAAGATCGGTATTCCCTCAATATCAGGGACTGGGACATTCAAAATGGCGGCCTCAACACGTTGTTACTTTCAGGGACATCAAACCCGGGCCTCGGGCGTGACGAGCAAAGGTTTTTTAAACCACTATACTATCCCATCAGGCTTTCCGTGTCAAAACAGGTTCCCAGTGTATCGTGCTTGTGGCCAGTAAAAAGGGGATTGTCTGGCTTGCTGACCTCACTGACGTTTGTCATCGCTGCCATTGTTTTCTTTCATGGGTTAGACTGATCCAGAAGGATTATTTTATGATAAAAATACCCAACCTCTGCCCATCCGTATTCATCAGGTACACCCACCCTGCATACTGCCCATGTATCGGGTTTACCTACCTTCTTCTCTGAGGAAGTCAGAAAGAAACAGGTGCCCAGTAAGGTGAAGGACATCGCAGAATTTCTCGTAGGCTTGAGCTCCTCGCAGCGGCAATATATCCAGTAAGAGTCGCACCTTATCCTGGCGTTCAGGCGCTGCCTGCCAAGTAAATTAAGACCATGCAATGAGTTTGTGACAGCACTGTACCCCTTAACACGCACTGATTGAATCTTATCTTGTGTATTGTGTTCATGTACAGGATTATTTGAGTGAGGTGTCCACTGATCCTTCTACCTGCGTGACAGTGAGGGGTCGTGGTAACATACTCCAAACTGTGCCCTGAAATCAGGGGCGTGTCGCCCTGGGCGCCGTGTAGTAACGTATTCTTAAAGAGGCAACATTGTTTACGTCGAGACTGGAATATATGGCATACCTTGCAGGTGCTTGTTTGTTTGTGTACGTGTTTGTTTGTAATTGAACGCCGCACTCAGCAATATTCCAGCTCTATTGGCGGTCTGTAAATAATCATGACTTGACCAGACAATCCAGTGATCAACAGCATGAGCATCGATCTAGGCAGTTGGGATACGATGACATATGTCAACAAATGCGCGAAAACAAGACGGACATTCCATTCCCGTTAACCGCCTTTTGTGTCAAGCATGGGTTGCTGTAGACTATTTCTAACAAGAATCTTCACGGGTCACCTTGCAAACTGATCAAACTTCAAAATTTACAACGTAAATATATCATTAAGTAAAGCAATATTATGCATACTTTTGTCATTTTTTCATTCAAATGTAATATCAATATAATAGATTTGTAATATATTTCATGCTCTTGATGTTACCAAATGGCAATTCAGTCCATCACAGAAGCAAGCTAGGAATGGAGTCTGCACCACACAGTGGTCGGCCATGGCGGGCAAAGATCCGTGCCTTCGGGGTCAGTCGACAGGCATGGCACAACCCTGAGCACCCGACCCATTAAGTGGCCTCGTACGACCAGCTTAGGTCGCTGGGGACCAGTCTAATGCTCAATACCCACGAGGTCAGTATTCTGGGCTGTCATGCTAAAGTCTCATTGAGCAAGTCAGAACCATGTCATTCACCGCACCACCTTTTTTGCTGGCTAACGTCACAAAATGAATATCAGATCAGATATATGTCGATTATTATAGTATATGTCCATTCTGTTATGATATATATCAGGGTGCCGTTGTCCAAAACTTGCGATAGTCTTATTGCTAAGGTTCTACAACGGTACCCTGGTCTACATATTTGTACGTATATCATAACAGAATGGAAATATACTATAACAATCGAGAATGCTTTTAACAGTTAACGGTTACATTGGGGGTCTTGTTTTCAACACAAGGGTACAACATTATCGTCATTCAAATTGGAACAGATTTCCTTAGTCATAAACTTATATATAAGTCAGTAAGTAATGGTTAAACTTTCAAGAAAAACAAAACCCTTTCTAAATCCAGCCACTCTAATTGTGAACAGGCGTTGTCGGGAGCTAACAAGTACAGTGTACACCGACGAGTGAGATCAAGAGGCAGCGGAAACAAGGCGCTGTTAGGAGATTACGCTCTGACTACCACCAACTCACGCCAGCGTGATTTACTTGACTTAATATCAATATCCCAACACAACCGGTCGATCCAATCGATCGGAGCACGTTGTCAACGGAAGACTTTAGTCAATTACGAACAAGATAAATTATGCTGGTGTGATTTCTGCAATAGAAAGACGACAGGAGGTTGTAGCACTTTTGGTGGTATTCTTTGGCAAATTGAATTTGCAAAGATATCTTGAAGACACCATCTGTTGATACAACGTTGACATTCCCTAGTCAGTGGAAAGTCACAGAGATAAAACCAGACCCATGCCATGGGCGACCCCAGCGATGTAAGGTCACCTGAGCTTCCGAGCTGACTCAGTCTAAGTAAACTTAGGCTCAATATTATTCGTTACACTGCTATACTGACATTCGTCACCACTCGCCCCTTTCCGTAACCTCCAAGAAGACGCTATTCGGCTTGTCCCGGAATAACACGAGTTGGTCACGAATGCTATACTGACTCTAACAAAACCTAAAAGAAGGTCGCGTCAGCTAACCTTTGAGCGACCTATGACCGTCCAATCAAACGCGAGACGGCCGAACGGATTTAACCAATCAGACAACGACTACTTGTTAGGGTTCGGCGGGACTTACAAAACGGTTTTTGAATTTTCTCTTCCTTGGTCGCTGACACTGATCTATCAACAAACGAAAATCCGCATAAAACACATATATTTGACCTGCAGTACATACGCTTATGGGTTTCTAATGACATGGTTAATTTTTGCTTATATTTTCGCAAGATGACATTCTTGAATATTGACAAAAACGCGATTTTCGGCGACTGTTTACTCATTGCGTGTATCACTCGGAAGCGATCGTGCGGGAAATAGCATTCGGAATCGTTCGAGATTTTGATGTAAAGGTTCAAACGGTATGTGCGAATGTTAACTTTCGCGATTTGGTAAGCTGTGTTCTGATTGGCCAGTCCAAAAGGTTAGCTGACGCGACCTTCTATAAGGTTTTGTTAGACTCAGTATAGCAGTGTAACGAAAAATACTGAGCCTAAGTTTACTTAGACAGGAGCCGACTGGTCATCAGGTCCAATCATAATCGGTCACAAACATAATCTTTGCAAATCTCGTTGATTGAATATGTTTGTTTTCACTGTGAAACGAAACCTGTATCTTTCTCTCTCTCAGCCTCGTTCCCTGCGTATTTAGCGCTGGTGTTTCATCGCTGGCGACAGCGCAGCATACCCAGGGGACCACTCTGCATCTGATGTCTTTTAGCGGCATTCAGAAGTTGTTATAGATGACCAAGATATTTTATGGATTAAAGCTTCTTTATTCTTTCCCACACAACGTTTCTGTAATGATCACTGTAATGATCCCAAAACGTTGTGTGGGAAAGAATAAAGAAGCTTAAATCCATAAAATATCTTGGGCACTCTGCATCTGTCTGGGTGAATATTTGTCGAAACCTGCATTGACTTCTGAGAAAACTGTAATCACCCCGCAGTGTGCGAAATAGTTTCCAAATTTGTTAGCCAATCGGGCTAGCTACGCCTGAAAGGTACTACCCCACAAAATAATTCACTAGCCCGAAATTTGAATGTAGAAACTAAACAAAAGATTAGAAAACGGTAAACTAACATCACTTATCAGGCCATAATCAGGGGTGTGTCTACCATTCTAGATAAACAGCCCGGGCTTACACATGATTGTTGCTAAAAAGGCTGGGCATGCCCTCAAGTACTATCCAAATATAAAGCTTTGCAACCTATCGTGCTTACACGAAAAAAATGGTTTGCTAGAAGTTGCTACGCGCCTGATAATCTTGCATGATTTAAAAGTGTATAATAAGTCGCAGAGAGTGATATATTAAAAAAAAGACCCCATGACAATTCAGTAGCAAGTCGGGTCCGTGTGGAGATTTACTGGCTCCCACGTGTTTTCAAATATGCCTATTAACATTTATACATTAGACAACAGAAATATAAGACTGTACGCAGAATGATCAGTGTCATGGTCAGGATAGGCTGAATGGTCAGTAAGTATCACATGAGTAATGACATAGAATGTATTTCAGATCTATCGACCCGTGAAGATCCGGTTTAGAATTGATCTTCAGTAACCCATGCTTAGCGTTAGAAGAGACTAACGGGATCGGTTGGTCAGGCTCGCTGACGTGGTTGACACATGTCATCGGTTCCCTATTGCGTAGATCGATGCTCATGCTGTTGATCACTGGATTGTCTGGTTCAGACTCGATTATTTAAGGACCGCCGCCATATAGCTGGAATATTGCCAAGTGCGGCGTAAAACAAAACTCACACAGATTTGTCAGTAGTGTGTGTGTGTGTGCGTGTGTGTGCGTGCGTGCTTGTGTGTTTGAATAATTTTGGATAATTTTAAACATTGGAATTCCATGAAATTAGTATTTCCTAATAGTTCTCCATCGGCATTTTCTCATTGGGAAAAATTGCCATGGGTGTTAGCGTGAAGCATCTTCCCATCTCGTGGTTGACAATCTCTGTTACCAAACTACTGGACTTTGATAAGGACAGCTCATAGCATCAAGGTATTAGCAAAACAGGTTCGAAGTTTTGTGTTCGCAATTTGTGAAACCAGTAGATGTAACCCGTCAAGAACACTTGGCAACGTAACTCATATACATGTATAGGAATAACGAGATCAGGTTGATTTTAACATAGTGATTACTAGTGGTGTTCCGATTAATTGAAATAATCGTAGATCGATCGCAGTGACCAAACGACCAAGCAATCGATCACATTTTCTCATAATCGAACATAAACAATCTTGGAACTACTGTTTTAGTGTTTGAAACTCTTGAAGATGGAACATATCTCACGGGCGGATACAGCTTTTTGAGAAAGGGGGTGCACACTATTGAGCAAAGGAGGGGCGCACACTTCATTTTCACCAGAGTTTCAATGGTCATTTAATAAACTTTCAGGGCAAGAGGGTGTGGGTGTGTGGGGTGTGTGTGTGTGTGTGTGTGGACCCACACACACCCCTCCCCCCTCCCCCTTTGGATCCGCCTATGTATCTTAGAAGCTGTCAGGGCATGAAAACTTGTTTAATTCTTAGAAAGCTCACTTCACTCACTGAAAATTCATGGCAGAATATTTCTTGCAGATTCCAGGAAGTTTATGTTGTTTATATATTAGTCATCACTTTAAAGTAGCAAGTTGCATCATGTTACACTCATACTCAGGCAATAGCAACATGAACAGAAAAATCTGAAAAAATGTCGCTAACCAATTATTTTTAAGGATTGTTTGTTGGTAATGAACCAATCATCTATTGTGACATTTCAATCAATTCCCAAAACTAGTGATTACTGGTTTGAACAACAGGTCACGCTCGCTGACTTGCATGTGTGGCATCTAATCCCGACGCCGTGGATAGGTGCTCGCAATTTCAATCACTAGATTATCTGGTCCAGATTCAATCATGTATGAATCGCAGTCATAAAGCTTGAGTATTGCAAAATATTGATCATATACTTTGCATACTAATCACGTATGTTCAATATGGTTACTATTAACCGTAACCAGTGACTTT